ACGCGTTGAAATATTCTTTAACTAAATGGGAATCACGAATGACCTGGAATTCCCTCCTATTTCGTGTAAAATTACCAGAAAAGTCCACCCACCGTTGTACGTAGCGAGTGAGTGCACAGAGTCAGTTTTAGATTGAAATATCAGCTATATTAGGCGTGAATCAAAGGGGAACAGCTCGGAAACAGATTGGTAGTGTTTTTACCTGTTACTGACCGAGTTTTAGACTCGTGCGATGGCCACAAGTCTATAAAACTGTATAAATCAGCATGTACAGAGCGATGTTCCTAACCTCAAAGCACCTCTACAATTTCACTCCGCAAAACTAAAGCGGCGGATTGCGGCAGCCGTTCTCAGTCAGAATAAGTTCAGTAATGTTTGAGCTTTATACCAATATGCACGAAATCGCGGCAATCGGCGGCAATCGTTTTATAACTCAATTCAAAGATATCGGGTCAAGAGATGACGTCTTGATGCAGGTGTCCAAGAAACACTTTTCTTATCGTTAAAAATGCAAGATTGATTTTAATTGTCCGGCATATTTCGAATGATGAAGTGTCGAACTACAACTCTCATGACTTTGATTTTACATTTAGGCTCCTGTTTAATGGCAATTAGTTAGTAAAATACGTGTAATTTGCGCGGGAAGGAGCGCGCTGATTGCGCTTCTGATGACTCACTTTTGAGGGCTTATAGAAAACAAATCTGATGGCTTAAAAATATGAGAGTAACCGTTTCAGATGCTTCGAACATTGTAGATTCGTCCTGGACAGACAAAATAGTTAGTATGAAAAAGTGAAAATTTGAAATATGTCCACCTTTTTCGCGATCTGCCGCACTGTGCGTACCCCCACCCCTTGTGCCACCTTCGCAAGCCGCGGTCAAATTCTGTTCAGTTCTGAAAACTATTGTTAACCAGAAAGGCGTCTTGTGCCACTAGCTGTTAAAACTTTTGACCCACACGCGTCTCGAACATGAGTGTAAGTCTGGAACATCAGCCCGAAATATTTGGAAGCGATTCTTTGTCAAACACTGACATCCCTAACCCAATCTATGTGTTTACACTGTCAACTGGTTAGCGACTTAGAACGCGTTCAAATACGCCAACCAATTCAGAGTGTACCCAACCGCGCTGTTATAGGGAGTAGCCTTGCACGAATGCGCCTCAGTTTGAATGTCCGCGCCAGTCAGCGCTTGGTGGCGCAGCGCGCAGCTCCGGTCTCCGGAACAGTCGCGAACACGGCCCTGAGGAGCCCCGCGAGAGCCGGTGGAGACACGTGACGCATGATTGAGGCAGACGCCAGAGAACCGCGGGTGTGTGTGGTCCCCTTGTAATGGCCCAAGAGTACAATAGAGTGTGAACTTGAACCATCACCTTTTAACACTGTCATTATTCCCGACAAGAACCCAAGGAACCCACTCCTTCAACCAGGGCTGAGGGCTCTGTTTCGTGATCGAAATGAATCTTTAGATACGCTAAACCTTAATTCTTATCGAGTCGTATCATGTGCTTTCACGGGCCGTTCCAAAACGGGCCTTTTTATATTTGCTTGCTATACGCTGGTTCGTTTTACGTTTTCGAATTAAACGTTAGCAATGCCCCTTTTGTTGATGCGATCAAGTTTTCAAGGAAGGTAACTTCTACTGTTCTTTGTTTCAGCTACGAGACCGAAAGCACCATTATGGCCCGAAACATTAGAAGACAGGAGAGCCATGTTTATAATGAGCAGCAGTAGTATATACACCCCCAAGTCGCGGGCCGCCATTTTGCATCCCCCCAGGTCGCAGCCTAATTTTTTGAAGTGGTACGATGGAGGGGGTAACTTTGAACCTAATTTTTTTGAACGGGTACGTCGGAGGGGTGTAACCTTGAACCTAACTTTTTGAACGGGTACGTCGGAGGGGTGTAACCTTGAACCTAATTCTTTGAACGG